ATTCTAATTTCCATTAATCCTCCTATCCTACTAGTGCTTGCCTTCAAGGAGTTTGTTGTTTTTCAGTCCTGTGTAATACTCCTTTGTGTGAATGTACCGTTTGTTGATGGGTACTTGGGTTGCTTCCATTTCTTCACTCTTGTGAATAACACAGAATTCAACATGAGTGTGTGTATATCTGTTTGAGTTGTGGCTCTTTTTTTCAGGGTATATTCCAAGTAGTGGAATTGCTGGGTCAAATGGTATTTTATTTCTAGTTTTTTTTAAAAGCTCTAGACTACCTTTCATAGTGGCTGTACCATTTTACATTCCCATCAGCAGTGAACAAGAGTTCCATTCTCTGTACAACCTTGCCAGCATATGTTGTTGTTTGCTACCTTATTGAACTTTGCTGTTATTGCTGGGGTTAGATGATACGTCATAGTTGTTTTGATTTGCATCTCCCTGATAAGAAGGGATTTTTCATATTTCTTCATGTGTTTATTTGCCATATGAATGTTGGTTTTGGTGAAAATGTTAAGTATTACTTTTATATTCTAACAGTATTATGAAAATATTAACATTTTAATATGAAAGTATAGGGATAATTCCATTTACAGTATTCTCAAAACCAATAAACTATCAATATATTTAGCAAAATAAACGTAGGATCTGTACGCTAGAAGCTTTAAAAGTTACTGAAAGACATTAGTAATAAATGAGGACACAGCCTGTGTTCATTCAGTGTCATCCTTAATAAAATCCCAGCTGCCTTTTTAACAGAAATTTACAAATGGATTATGAAATTTGTATGGAAATGTCAGGAACCCATAATACCCAAAACAATCTGAGAAAAACCTATATTTGGAAGTCTCACATTTCTTGATTTCAAAGCTTAAAGCTATTATGTTATTCAAAATAGTATTGTACTGACATAAGGCTAGACATGGAAATTAATGGCCTAGAATCAAAAGTAGAAATAAACCCTCACATTCATAGTTAAATTTTCTACAAGAATGACAAGACCCTTTAATAGGGGAAAGGATAGTTTTTCAAAAAATAACCCTAGGAAAATTGGATCATTTTATTTAAACAGATGCACTTGGACCCTTTCCTTAGACCATATACCAAAACTAACTTCAAATGGATCATAGACGTAAATTTAAGAGATAATACTAGCACTCTTACTTAGACAAAAGATAGGAGTATATCTTAGTGATCTTTAGTTAAGCAGTGACTGTTTTTAAAGATATGCCAAAAAAACACATGACAAAATGTAGATAAATATGACTTAATAAAAATGTGAAACTTTCATACGCAAAGGATGCCACCAAGAAAATGAAGAAAAAACAAAGTAGGAGAAAATATTTGCAAATCACAAATGAGACTTGTAGTTAAACTATATTAAGAACTAAAGTAATAAAAAGACAGCCTAGTTTTAAAATTAATAAAGCAGACAAATAGCTGTTTCTCCACAAGTAAGTGCCATTAAGCACATAAAGAGATATTTAACATCCTTAACATTTAGGGACTACAAATCACACAGCACATGAAATACAGTTTCATGAGGCCAGGATTACCATCATGAGAAAGACCATAATAAGCATTAATGAGGATAAAGAGAAATTTGAATCCTCAGGTACTGCTGGTGGGAATATAAAATCGTACAGCCTCTGTGGAAAACAATTCAGCAGTTCATCAAAATGTACATGAACCTCATTACTTAGAAAATCCACTTCTGAGTATATATCTAACAAAAATGAACACATTTCCAAACTAAAACTTGGCTCTGTGGTCGCGTAGTCAATAGGAATATCATCAGAAGGCTGCTCATCCAAAGGTACTGGGTTTTCTGTAGTGGCTCAAATCCACCAGAGGCTACTCAGGAGAAAGATAGCTTAGTCCTACATGATTTCCAGCCTTGGAAACCCATTAGAGGGCCAGTTCTGGTTCAAGCACAATGAATAAAGGTTGTTGTGTACTGTCGAGCCAGAACCGACCCACAGCTGACCCTCCAGCAGGTTTTCAGAGAAGATTGCCCATCTTCCCACGGAGCAGCTGGTGGCCTCAAACCCTGTGCCTTCGGAATTGCAGTGCAGCTTCTTGCCACTAGGCCACCAGAGCTCCCTGCTGAATGAATGAGAGGTATATATATCCAACAGAAAGGAAAACATTTTCAAAGTAAACTTGTACACAGATGTTCTTAGCATCATGATTCATCAAACCAGAATGTAGAAGCGATAACAAATGTTTTATGTCCATCACTCATGTGACCCCACTGGACAGAGTAGAACTGCCCCCATTGGGTTTCCAAATTTGTAAATATTTGTGGAAGCAAACTGCCACAGTTTTTCCCCCATGGACCAAGAATTGGTAAATTAATAGAGACAAAACAGATAAGTTGTTTCTAGAAGCTGATCTGAGGGAGAAATGTGGTTAATGTGGAGTATCTTTTGTGCAGAATATATGTTCCTTTTTTCAAAAAATAAAATTTTTATTTTATACTGGTTTACTTAAAAAGTCCATATACATTGTTTTCACGCTGGATATTTTCCATTTCCTTTACCCACCCCTCCCTCCACTTGTGTGACCCTATGATTGACTCTTATCCTTTTCTTCCCCTGGCCCTTCCTCACCCCTCTGCTCCCACACTCCCCCTCTTGGATCCTCATTTAGATTCTACAATAGCTGTTTTATACAGTATTTATCCTTATATACATTCTTAAATTAGATAGTGTTGGTGCTTGCACAACTCTGTGAACATACTGAAGACCACAAGATTATACATTTTAAAGGACTAAATTTTATCTGAAAGCTGCTAAAAATTTAATTTCTACACAATATCTGTTTCATTTTCATCTTTGAATAAAAATGTCATGAGGTATATGATTCCAAATTGACAGTTATTTTTGTCTTATCATTTAGGAAAAAATTATTTCACTGCCTTTTGACTTTCACTGTTGCTGTTTAGATATCCTCAGCCATTGCTGTCAGAGATCTTGCTGTTATAGACCATGTTCTTCAAATATCTTAGGGATCAGTGTTAAGGCATAGTATTATAGTCTTTGTAAACTTAATCACCGAGTTATCTTTGAACCATCACAAAGTTTTTGTCCAGTAAGACCATTTGGTGGTGTTAAATTGCTGTCTAATCACATCTGACTCATGGTAACTCCATATGTAAGGAAATACTGCTCCATAGCGTTTTCTTGTCTATAATCTTAACTAGACTTTTCTTTTGTAGTATTGCTGCTGCTGTTGTTTGCATTGAGTCAGAACTGGCTAATAGCTGGCCCATAGCTTATCCTTCATCTGGTTTTCAAAGGCAGTAAATTGCCATGGGAGGAGATGACCCATTCTTCTCCCTCAGAGCAGCCGGTGTATTCAGACCACATGTCTTTGAGATTGCAGTGCAGCTTCTCATCACTAGACCACTAAGTGGGTTCAAATGCCAACCTTTCAACTAGTAGTTGAACACAGAATGTTTGTGCCATCTAGGGACCCTATTAAAACCTATCTTAGATGTAAAAACATGTTTGTACCTATGAGTTCGTAATCCTACTTTTAGTAATCTTCAATTTTGTCTTAAATTGTGTTCACAATTAAGTTGTGAGAGATGAATTCTTGATACTGAACCGTGGATGAAAAGAGAACAGTTAGTGACAGCAAAGAAATTGTTGTCCTTAACAAGATGGTAACATACCTGAATATGTAACTAAAATTAGATAGTGTAGATTCACCTAATAGAATTTCATAGGACTCTGGCAGAATTGAGCCTGTCTGTCTACCTCATTTGCCCTGAGATTATCATTGTTTTGTACACCAGAAGCCTAGTATAATTGCTATTTATAATTAGGTTGCATTCTTCACACTCTATTTATTAAGGGAGGGAAGTGATTGAATAATAGAGAAAGGCTTTTTGAGGTTTCATTCCTTGTCTTGTTATTGTTTTTAGTTACTGCTCATTGCAACCTGTGAACAACAGATCTGAAGCCTGTCCTCTATTGTGCCATCCTCATCACCTCTGACATACTTGGGTCCATTACTTCAGTCATTATAGCAGTCCATGTAGTATAGGGTTTTCGTTTTTTGTTGGTTTTTTTTTTTTTTTCCACCAACCCTCCACCTTCCTTTCTAGCAGTACAGGAAATGAGTTCCAGAAAATGGAACTGATTTGCTTAGAGGTGTTTGTGTTAAGATTTTCAACAAGTAGTCTGACATACTTTGGATATGTTGCAAGGAGGGACAGGTCCTTGGAGAGGATCATCATGCTTGGGAAGGTGGAGGGACAGCGCAGGAGGGGAAGGCCCTCTATGAGGTGGATTGATTCAGTGACTGGGATAATTGGGATGGGTGTGTCAGAGGCAATGTGATTAGCACAGGTCAGAGCAGAGTTTAGGGCTTTCTGCATAGGGTCACTATGAGTTACAAGCGATTCGATGGCACATACAACAACAGCAGTATAAACTAAATAGATATGTTTCTAAACATGTTCGGTTTGCATAAACAAAAGTAGCTGTTTTCTATTAGTTATATTAAGTGACATGTTAATACAGCATTTGTCTTTAAAATTGTTCCTCCTCCAGCCTCTCGCCTCCTTTGGCATGGTGTAAGGTCATGCACTTTGCTGTTAATTAATGCAAATGACCTGAATACAATTATTTTTTAAAAGATGATACTTCATGTGAAAGTAACCAGAAATTATTAAACATAATTTGAATCACTTATTATGGTAGGAATAGCTGTCTTTTAAGAAAATAAAAACAAAAACCAAAACTGTACAGACATGTTTTTATCTGTATTGAGACTGGTTGAACTTCCCTACAGCCTCTGTTTAATATTTTCTTATTAAAAATATTTATGATACAAATTAGCCATTAGTAGAAAATTGTACTGTCTTTGTCTTTCCTTATCAGTTACCAAAGATAGAAGAACATTATAAGGAAATTTCATATTCTGTAACAAAATTTACAGGAACATTACTAATTTTCCTATTGACGTAGTCATTTCATTTTTGATAGATTGCAAAGGTCGACTGCAAGGAAATACTAGACATCATATGTAATCTGGAATCTGAGGGTCAGGATAACACAGCATTTGTTCTTTGTACGACTTACCTTACCCAGCAGCTCCAAACTGCAAGTGTATATTGTTCTTGGTAAGTATATCTAGTTTTTATTCCCTTTATTTATTAATACTACATTAGTATAGCAGTTAGGGTTTGTATAAAACATCATTTTGTTTCAACATGAAAGGCAAGAAAATTAAATGATAATGTATAAATAAGACCTTGCTTACAAACTAAATAATTGAGACAAAAATTGTGGCAATATGAAATAAATTGTTGTTAGAATGTTCTTCACATTCATTAGTATATTCATTCCAGTGGTTACTTTTTACCTCTTTATTGGAAAAACACTAATGAAAAGGGACAGTTTACATAGGTTTGTAAGTCAAACTTATAGTGGAAAGAAAATCCATTTGAATAGTTACTTCTTTTGCAACTTTGGTACCATATGACTGAATTCCATTTTGTTGATTTTTGTTTGATTTATATCTTGTTTGCCTAGAGAGTAGGTAAAAAGGAAACACTGCTAAGGAGGAAACATTAAGTGTAGCCATGTTTTTGCACCTTATGACTTTATTGGCTATAGATATGTCATAGCGACAAATTTGGTCCACCAAAAAACTAACTGGTTAAACATATATTTGTCAAATGTACTTAATTTTTAAAAGTGTAAATTTTATATTGATAAGCCAATATCATTTGTAAACTTTCACTTAAAAATTTTTTTCATATTAAAAAAAACAAAGGAGGACCCCAAACCTATTGCCATCAAGTTGATTCCAACTGGTAACTGACCTGGTAGGACAGAGCAGAATCAGCCTTGGGAATTCCAAAGTATTAAATCTTCACAGAAATATATTGCCCCATTGACCTTTCGATTGGCAGCCAGATCCTTTGACCACTATACCACCGTGGCACCTGATATACAGGAAACATAAAATATCCTACTGGTATGAATTAGTGATATAAATAATGCATAGATTATCACTGCTTGCAGAAGAGCAAAGACTGTATACAGCCTTCAATTTAGATTACGTCTCAACATTAAGAAAACAAAAATTCTCACCACTGGACCAATAGACAACATCATGATAGAAGGAGAAAAGATTGAAGTCTATTATTTCATTTTACTTGGATCAACAGTCAGCACTTGTGCTAACAGGAGACAAGAAATCAGAACATGTGTTGCACTGGGAAAATCTGTTGTCAAGGACTTCTCCAAAATTCTATATTGCATAATGAATAAGGAAGACTAAAGAATTGATGTATTTAATTTGTGGTGTTGGCAAAGAATATTGAATATTCCATGGAGTGCCAAGAACAAACAAATCTGTCTCGGAGAAAGTGCAGTCCTGGTGCTCTTTAGAGGCTAGGCTGTTGACATTTTGTCTCATGCATTTTGGGCATATTCAGGAAGAACCACTCCCTGGAGAGAAACATCATGCTGGGAAAGGTAGAGGGTCAATGAAGGAGAGGAAGACCTTCAGTGAGATAGACTGACAGAGTGATTAGCACAGCAAGCTTGAACATGATAGGGATTGTGAGGATGATGCAGGATAGGGCAGGGTTCAGGGCTGTGATTCATTGGGCCACTACAAGTTGTAGTTGACTCAGTGGCACCTAACAACAACAGTAGATTATAGAAAAGATGATCACTTTATACCGGAAAGTCTTAAAAGTGTCCAAAAGATAGTGGTGGTGATTTCTGATACATAGCAAACCTATATGATCAAGTAGAATGGACTTAAGCTATTTTTCAGGCTATTCTCTAAAGGAGCAGATTGCCACATCTTTTCTGGAGGAGTAACTGGTTAAGTTCAACTAGATTTATCCATTGCATTTTGTGCCACCAAGGTGTCTAGAAAGAAGTGATGTTTGAACTTTAATACAAAGTATAGATTGGGTTTGCATAATCTTGATTGGAGAACTTCAGATATTTCAGAATATCCAAGATAGCTTAAAGTTGGGAACAATCTTTTTGTTTTTAGGGGAAGCATGACATAGGTTCTTGTGTACTTTCCCTCTGGAACATCTCTGTGTGCTTATGTACTTTGTTATTGCCATTTTGTGTGTTAACTGTATATATCTTTTCCTACTATTTTATAGTAAAATGTTATATACTATAAATTCTTTTACTCAGTTCTCACTGTGCAAAGAGGCATGTGAAGAGTCAGAGTTATTTAATACTTTCAAAGGTGATAGAGTTGAGATTTGAGCCCAGAGGTTTTGATTCCTAATCCAGTGAGAGCCTCCTCCCCCGGGTATTTGTTTTCTTGGCATAGTACCAAAACTCAAATTGCAGCCTTCTACCACCAAGTTCAGATTGCCAGAGTTTCATCTCCAGTGAGGAAAGATAGTTGAGATGGGTTTGTAGCGGTGTTTTCTGAGTATTCATTGTGGACATTTCATTAAAGAACTAAAAGATCATATAAAGAAAAACAATTGTTATATAGCAAGCAGTGGGGGTTTTGATCACTTAAACCAAACAGAAGAAATACCTTTTCATATATTAGAGATTAAAAATTTTAATCTGTAAAATAGATGTGCTTCTTTGAGGAATAAGCCTGTTTGTCTTTTTACATTTAAGGAAATTTCTTTATGCATTAATTTAGTCATGTGTTTTAAATTTGTGTCACATTTGTGATTGACCCTTCAGTGGCTTGTGAAGGCTTCTGATTGCACACAAGGAGAATTGCCCATCTTTCTCCTGTAGAACTGCCAGAGAGACACTGTTTACAGGTTACCAGTGCAACTCTCTACAGACAGTGCCAATTGAGCTCTCTTTGTGTAAAATCCGATAATGTTGAGCAGTACCTTATAAATGGAAAAAGTATCTATTAATTATAGCTAGCCTTTCAGTGCATAGAAGAAATTCAGTCATACATGACATAAGTTTTAGATTCTAAAGTATTTTAGAAGTGAAATTATCACAGTTTACCATGCCCTGTAATTTCTTTTTCCTCCCTTCTGTTGCTCAGTCATTATTAGATCTTCCAGGGATGATGGTAAATCAATCTAGAATTAATGCTGTTCTCCTGCAGCAGGAAGGGATTAACTGGGATTTCCCCTTGTCTGCCTCTTAAAAAGTGATAAAGGAAAGAAGATGTTAGTCATAGTTTGTTAAAATAGAACCAAAAATATTCATGTTTGAGTGAATATTTTATCTTGCTGTTATTTTCAAATACAACATTGTTTGGGGTTGTAGTAGTAATAGTAAGATAGTAGAATTGGAGATAGTGAGATAAGACCCATTGACTTTTACTAGGTATGAAAAGAGTGTGGGTAACATGAGGACAATGATGTCTTGCCTGTGATACTTCTGAAAGAATAGTGTCCCCATCAGGAACATCCACAATACAAAACCAGTTCCTATAAAGTCAGACATGTTCTCCCATACTCTTGCAATTACTTAAATTAATCCCAATACCAGTCTTTTGCCACTCTCCCAAATCTGAAATCCGTTGCAATGACCACACCTTCACAGAACCATATTCACAGTTACGGGATTTATTAGGGAAGTTAACCAGTTACAATTCAAGTCGACAGCAGGATATTCCTCAGTCTAGACAGCTTCCTTAGTGCTTACAGGCTCTTAGACCTTCAAATTCACATTGTAAATCAGTGTTACAAAGTTCCACTGTTGTTTGCTGTCAGGTCAGAGGCAGTATATCACGAAGAGGTTGCTTATCTTTCTTTTGCAGTACATCTGGTGTATTTGAACCATGTCCCTTTGGGATTGCAGTGCAACATTCTACCATTAGAGCTCTAAAATTCCCTTCTTGTTCTTGTTATGTACCATCAACTTGGAACAAACCCCTAACTGATCCTTCAGTGGATTTTCAGAGGCAGTTAATTGTAGAGGAGGAGATTGTTCATCTTTCTCCTGTGGAGCAGCTTGTATGTAGACTTAAACCTCATGCCTTCAGGGTTACAGTGGAGCTTCTTGCCTCTTGGCCACGAGAGCTCCCTAAAATCCCCTTAGCCATACCAATTTTGACATCTCTTTTCAAGTTGCCTCTGTCTCTTATTGGTCCCTAGTTCTCTGCTGAGGCTGCTGTTGCTTTCTTAAAGATCCTGGTCTGGCTGGTTTAGTATTCACTGACCCCAAAGAAGCACTCTCTGCTGCGTCTTCCTTGATAGTTGTGATATTCCCACTTCCACTGCTCACTCTGATCAACTTTACCTGGTGGGACAGGAAAAACTGACCAATCCCATAGTGATTATACACACTCTTTTCCACACTCAAAAGTCAGTGTCTAGGAAAGCCATTTTGAGCAATAATCCCTTGACAACATACTAGGGAAAATGAATCTCAGGAATACTGTTTACTCAGAGTATATTCTTTTGTTGTCCTAGAGATTGATTTTGTTTAAAATAGTAGTCATGTCACCACAAAAGCTGCAGTTTTCCCCCAAAGGTGGAGCAATACCAATCATGATGATAGGGTTGGAACAGAAAAAGCAGATGATATTATTTGTACCAATACATAGGACACTGGAATATGGGCTTCCCAAATCTGTCTCAGGGAAAAGAAATTTTAAGAGAATATAGAGTAGATAAGAATATGAAGAAAGGGTCATGTTTATTTAGCTCTCATAAGATGAAAAAATGGGGTAAGTTTATGAGTTTATTCAACATAGTATATCATGTAAAAGGAAACAGGAAAGTCTGTGATTTGGAACAAGTCTGGAAATATTTGGTTAAGGTTTTGCTTTCTGTTCTCCGAAAAGGGAGTTTACAAACCTCAGCTATAGATTGCATGATAGAGAGGCAAACATCAACAAAATGCTTCAGTCTTTCCATTTTCCTTCTAAACTAAGGATACTTCCTTTTATTTTCATAGTCAGATTTTCTTGACTTTTATCATTTTGTTCTGTTTTGATATCTTCACATACATAATTTTTTTATTTAAGAAAGCTTAAAAACGTGGATTTTTCATTCAGTCATTCATAGGCATTTTGGTTTAGTATATTGTGTTTTGGCTTATTTTTATATTGAAACAGTTGTTTCTGTATTTATTCTTCAAAATTGTGCATTGTTCTCAAAACTTACTCCTTAGTGCCCGCTTCAGCAGCACATAAACTAAAATA